TATAATTAATTTAATTTATTTTTATATATTGTGTAAATAATTATATCTTTTAAATTTGTTTATTTTTAATTTTAAATAAAAAAATAATTTTTTATTAAAAATATTATACAAAATAAAAATCAGGCGGCGTTCCAATAACAGTACTCAAGTAATTCTCCCACGACGACAAATTCTGAGCGCAGACGTTGAATCACTAGTGCCCTTTCCGAAATTTCACTAGTGCCCCTTCGGAAATTCATGCCTGGCAACCCATTCAACCATTTGACTCTTAACAATTCAAACAATCCCTTGTATGTATGTGCTTTCCACAATCCACATTACGTTGATAGGACTCGCTAGCTTTTCAATACCTCATTTTTCCCACTTGTAAAAGATACTCTATATATTTTGACTTTTTTTTTTTTCCAGAAAAGACCATAATTAATTATTCATGCACTCACATTGAAGATGGGAACTAATTTATATAACTTTACATACCATTCACTTACTATATGCATCAATTTAGTCAAATTTTGAACCCATGTATGTGTGCTTTCTATAATCCGCATTACTTTGATATACAATACTCCTCGCCTTTCTCTACCTCATTTTTCCACGATGTTCTATGTATGGACTTGTATTTTTTTTTTATTAAAAAAAAGGACTGTAATGAATGATCTTTGCAGACAGATTGAAGATGACAACGAATTCAAATAATTTTACGTACAATATATTAACATTTTGAGTTCTTGTAACCTACGTGGAATCTAGTAGGAGACAGAGCCAGAAGATTAAGTGAGGGGAGGTGAAATTTTTTATGTGCAATTTGAGTCTTAATATTTTTTAAGTTAATTTTTTTTAAAGAAAAATTTTAATTTTGATTTTTTATTGATATATTTTTAAAATCTTAATAAAATTAAGAAATTAATATGTTTTCTTCATTCGTTATCTTTAATAATTTTTTATTAAATAAATAATTTTATTAAAATAAGAAATAATGCTTCACTATAATAATATTTAAATAATAGATTAACTAATTTAAATAATTTTAAAATCTTACTCTTTCCATATCAAAATGTCTATTTTCTTTAGTAATTTATTTATTAAATATTATCTTTTTCCATCCAAAGAATTAAACAATATGAAAAAGGAAACATGTAATTCAATACTTAGAAACTAAAATTATTGACTAAATAAAGACTTAAGCATTTTATCAACTAAAGTTTTTGTTAATTAAATCACTTTCTAAAATAAATGAAAAAATTAAAAAATAAAATCCTAAAACAATTTAAAAACTTAAAGGGGGAAGATCTTTGCATTTGTGTTTAATTAAGGGTTTCAACTCCTAAGTTATTTAATATGCAATAAGCTCATTTATTTAGATTATAATATTCTCATCTTTTGCAAAATATTTAATTAAGTCCTAATGTTCTCTTCATATTTGAAATAGTGGTTATAATAAAAATATTATAAATTGTATTAGTTTGAGTTGGTAAATATGAAAGATATATTATAACTTAAAGATTCACGTGATACGCATAGTAATTAAAAACTTTAAAAGACAAAAAATAACATGCATACTAATTTTAAAAATTTTCAAAAGTTGAGGGGGCCCCCTCCCTGCTCCTCTATCTAGTTAAAAAATTCAAGTTATATGATGCTTCTAGATAGGGCGTACATTGATTAATTCATTTTAAACGAATTACATTTTGGTTAAGAGTTCAGTTAAGACAAGGCATTAAGGGGGTGTTTGGTTTACTTTTCTAGAAAATTCCTCTTTCTAGGATTCTATAAGGATATTTTGATATTTACACTCCTTAAAATTGTAATAAATAAAGGGTAAAAATGATATTTTTAGCCTTTAGTTTCCTTGACACAATTCTAAACCCATCATGTTTTCTTTGAACCTTGTTGATGCCCCACTTGAAATTTCAAAGAAGAAAAATTAATTTGAAATATTAAGTTTTAATGATTAGAAAATCAGAGTTGCCACCCACTCAAATAAAGGTGAAGTAAGTCATCACTAATCTATGAGAAATTGGGTCGATTTCTTGAACATGTAATTTCAAGGTGACAATTTGCCTTAACTTTTTCCTTTTAGTGGTGATTTGCTTCAATGCAAAAATATTGGCGGTAATTTGCACATTTGGCCATAATCAAATAATATATTTGACCATTGAATTAATGAGGTAGATTGTGTTTAGGTATTTCAATGTAATTGATTTATTTTGTTATTTTTTCTCTCCTTGCATTCATGTGTTTTACATCTTAATCATGTTATTAGGGCAGATAACATTCTTGTGAAGGCTTCGTTTGATAACGTTTTTCGTTGCTTTAAGTTTTAGTTTTTATGCATTTTTACTATTTTAAAAATATATAAAATATTAATCAAAATAAATATTAAATATATTTTATATATTTTTAACATATTAAAAAACCAAAAAACCAACAGACCAGCATTCCTAAACTAAGCCGAAATCCATTGTTACTTGTTAGCCATGCTCATGAAGTATATAAAAACACCTTAACCATAAGAAAAAAAGAAAAAAAAGTTCACGTTTATCTCTGATGGATTTAATTCAAGGCGCGTTTGGACTGCTTGTGCTTGGGTTGGCGGATGCAAAGGTTGGTGATTCATGCTTTCTTTTTTTTTTTTTTTTTTTTTTTTGATAAAATGTGAAAATTGTATTTATGTATGAAACTATCTGTACAAGAAATTAAGCAGCAACTTGTTGCTGCTACAATGAAAAATACTCAACTTTATACAGCAGTCTCAAAACCCCATTTTAAAGCAACTGACGCACTTAAAATAGAGGAAAGAGGCTAGCACTTTCCAAAATTTTGTGTCTCACATCAAAACAGATGTCATCACAGACTACATCTACTGTCTTGTAGACATATGCTGGTGGATTCTCCTGTTCCTTTCCATCCAAACGTGGTAGATTGTAGCATTCCACATTAACTTGATGAGCGTTCGGTACAAAGACTTCTTTTTCGTTTCCCCATCCATAACACAAGTTGTTGCCAAGAATCCAGATAAGGAATTTCAGACATAGCACTCAAACTCTTCCACACACATTTTGCATAGCTACACTTAAAAAAGGGGTGCTCAACAGTTTCTAATCCATTGTTACATAGGACACATTTGTCATCTATGTTAGGGAACCATTTCTTCTGTCTTGCTTTGGTTGTTAATCTGTCTAACATGGCTAGCCAACTAATAAAGCTATGCTTTGGTATTTGCCGAGAGAACCCAACCAACCTGTGCCAAGGAACCTTGGATTGCTTGCTCTTGATCCAGTGCCATGTTCTTCCTGCCTTGTATGTCCTTGAAGTTGAAGGGATCCATATAACAGTATACTCATCCCCTTCCTTAGGATATAATCTGTCACATCAAGCAATTTGAATGTCCAGCAATTGAGGTGAGCGAGTTGGTGATCATTTTAAAAAATTACCATTAATCACTACCTCCAGATTGGCTTAGGATGCTTTTAGTTATTGCGCGGTCCATTTGAAATGGTTCAGAATAAACTGATCTTTAAAGATATTGAAACTTCAGTTAACAACTTGTTTGAGGCTATCCAAATGAGATCCTTTCTTTGGCTGAAAAGCAAGGTGAATGGGGTTTTTCTTATTCTCTATTTGAGTGGTGCAGTAATCCTAGAATATGTGCTGAAGCAATTGTTTAGTTTAGACTCAGCCTGTTTTGCTTTAAAATACAATTCCAGATAGAGTGCAATTTGTAGGAAGCTGTATGCATATGCATAGTTGTGAGAATATTGTAAATTTGTTTAAGGGCAATAATACTTTTGTACTCTGAAGCAATAAAATTATTTATTTATTTATTATTATTTTTTTAAAGGAGTTCACGTTTCACATAATGCGCCTTTGTCTTCAGTACACTTCTTTTCATTTCACTCATGTCTTTACAAAAGGGAAAAGTAACTCTTAATTAACGAAGCAAATCTTTTCTAAAGTATGAAGCAAACTTTGTAGTTCATCACTAAATTGAAAATGTCCATTGATTTTTCTATATTAAACGTTTTTAACATCACTCATCGTTCTTTGACAAAAAGAGCTAATCAACTTCAAATATACAAATCTCATAAAAAAAATTTAAAAATAAAAAAATTGACATTAATATCTCACTAATTAACAACATAATTTTAAATATTTTTCTCATAATTTTCAAATAGGTTCGATGGGCTATGCAGTGGAGACGGACTTTCCTTTGTTAAACTCCATGTTATCCGTTTCAATATATGAATTTGAAGCCTTTAATAAAAGGACATGTGTCGCTTTTCATCTTTTTGTGGAAAAATGCAGGGTCACTAAAATTCCAATACCAAACTTGTTGTCATTGCAAAGTAGCAAACTAATATTCCAACTTCAATTTAGAAGCATAAGGTTTTGCTTCCAAATACTTACCCAAAACACCATATATAGCTAGGCTGCAAAATCTTTCATATTCGCAAGGCTGAGGTTAATTAAGCGGACTTGCTCAACAGCGACAGCATGGTCCCAAAGGAGCTTGCCAGATTGAAATCCTTGGACTCGGAGGAGGTAGCCTGCTGCCTATCAAATCTAATGTCAACCCAGCCTTTGATACAAAGGGTTACGCCAATCCTTAGCGACAACCAGGATATTAGAAAATATTTCCAACCAATTTCTGTGGCAATCGGTCCCCTGCACCATCCCAGTGAAAATGGTTCTGATTCAACTTCAAGAGTCCGCAGAGCAGAGAAGTTCAAGCTACAATTGGCGGCGATGTTCATCAAATATAGTTGCAGTAACAAGGAAGATCTCTACAACAATGTCAAGAACCACTTGAGTAGCCTGAAGAGGTGTTATGATCCCGACCAACAAGAAGAGTGGAAGAAGAAAAATTGGGATGATGAGGACTTGGCATGGATGCTCCTTGTGGATGGTTGTGCAATATTGTATTTCATATACCTTGATGTGAACAACAAGTGGGAGAAATTGGGAGGTAAGATTGATCTAGTCGCATTTGCAAAGCTAGATTTATTCTTGCTCGAGAACCAACTGCCATTCCAACTCCTTCAGTTGTTGATGAGTTTGTGCACTAGAGTCCCTT